TGAAATAATTACATAATAAATAAATTGTAACTTGAATTAAAGATGAATAAAAGAGAATAAAAGAATAAAAGAGAATAAAATATGTAATTACATATCCTATGTAATTATGTCATGTAATATACAGTATACATATGACTTCTCAGAATTAAGCCATGAATATTGTCCTTTACAATCATGTAGTGGAAGATTGAATCCACGTCATTTTTTTTTTTTTAAATTTTTTTTTCAACGTTTATTTATTTTTGGGACAGAGAGAGACAGAGCATGAATGGGGGAGGGGCAGAGAGAGAGGGAGACACAGAATCGGAAACAGGCTCCAGGCTCTGAGCCATCAGCCCAGAGCCCGACGCGGGGCTCGAACTCACGGACCGCCAGATCGTGACCTGGCTGAAGTCGGACGCTTAACCGACTGCGCCACCCAGGCGCCCCGAATCCACGTCATTTTAACTATAAACTAGTTAAGCCAGTCAACTATCAAATAAGGCATCTGTACAAGGTAGATAATTCATGATTGTTATAGGTAGTTAGAATGATTTAAAAAAAAAATGGCTCGCCTTCTCACATGTAGGCAGAGCCTAAGTGGCATATTATAAGTGGCATGTTAATCATTAACACACTAAACAGGCCCACAAAAAATTTAGAAATATACATTTCCCAGAATGAATAAATAACCAAATAACCACCTGAAAGAAAACCTTTATCTGAAGCATGGGCAAACTCCAAACCAATATCACCAATTCATATACTTGATACTTGGTCCATGTATCTTTATGGCAATTAATAGGTTGAACAAATATTTCCTGGCATAAGTCATACTAACTTGCATACTGTATCAAAGCTATGATCCTATCTTGAATTCCACCTTTGGCATAGTACCAAGAAACATGATAAGGGAGAACCTCAGCAACAATTTTCAAATTAATGAATGTTTATCAAGCTACTATTGTATGCAAGGCACAACACTTAGGCACTGCACGGTACACGAGGATGGATACATACAGTCTTTTATCTCAAATGAATTTACAACCAATAAGTTATAAAACAATATTTAAAATACAGGGACTGGGGCGCCTAGGTGGTTCAGCTGGTTAAGCGTCTAACTTTTGATTTCAGATCAGGTCATGATCTCGTGGTTCATGAGATCAGACTCTGCTGACAGCATGGAGCCTACTTGGGATTCTCTCTTCTCTCTCTGCCCCTGCCCCATGCACACATTTTTTCTCTCAAAATCAATCAATCAATAAAAGCTTAAAAAAATAAAATAAATTATAGGGACTACTAGGACCCATAAGAAGGAAAGATCTTACTCTTTGATAAGATATGAAGTCTTTTAGGACACATATAAACACTATTTTGGGAGAAGGTAGTATTTGATAAGACAACACTTTAGAATGGGCAGCATTCCAAAAGGCAAGGATCCAGTCAAGTAAAATAGTGAACATAGGAGTCTACAATAGGTATAGTGTGAAAGGTGGAAAAACCTGGTGTATATTATAGAGGGCCATCAATATCAGGAAAAGGCTACTAGACTCAAATTGTAGATGACGCAAAGCCATTGGAGAGCACTCATCCATGGAACCCCCAAACCTATAGTCTTGAAAGATCAATTTAGGTAGAGACTAAAGTCAGGAAGATTACTTCAGGACAACTTTAATCATCGTGGTATTAATGGAAAGGGTTGGTAGTAATTAGATGTAAGACATCCAGCAAGCAGAATTTTTAAGATGTAGAAAGTGACAGTCAGTGATAATGCAAGTGTGGAATAAAAGGTCAGGGATTTCAGAGTGGGAGGTTGAGAAAATAGATCTGCCATAATAGAAATGGGGAAATTCAGAGAAAAATTTACTACTGGAGTGGGTGAATCTAAATAGAGTGATGTGTTTGATTTGAAAACAAATTGAATCTAGGGGAGCCTGGGTGGCTCAATCTGTTAAGCATCTGACTTCAGCTCAGGTCATGATCTCAGGGTTCATGAGCTCAAGCCTTACACTAGGCTCTGTGCTGACAGCTTGGAGCCTGGAGCCTGCTTCAGATTCTGTGAATCCCTTTATCTCTGCCCCTCCCCCACTTGCACTCTGTCTCTCTCTCTCTCTCTGAAAAATAAACACACATTAAAAAAAATTAAACAAATCGAATCTGAATTGGCAGCAATTTCATACACCTTGGCCCTATATTCTAATTCTCTAAGACTAGGTTATATTTATCATTAAATAATTTTAGTGGAATGCATTTATTTTCCAGCCCCTCCAGAAATAACAAACTGCTGTATAAACTAGCCTTTGGTTTTATTCACCTTAAATGTATTTCTTTCGGGGCGCCTGGGTGGCGCAGTCGGTTAAGCATCCGACTTCAGCCAGGTCAGGATCTCGCGGTCCAGATCCGTGAGTTCAAGCCCCGCGTCAGGCTCTGGGCTGATGGCTTGGAGCCTGGAGCCTGTTTCCGATTCTGTGTCTCCCTCTCTCTGCCCCTCCCCCATTCATGCTCTGTCTCTCTCTGTCCCAAAAATAAATAAACGTTGAAATGTATTTCTTTCAAACTTAAGAGAGTTTACTTGATCAAGACTTTGGTCTGCCTATTCATAGCATGCAGTTATATATGTAACTTTAGGTACTATTCAGGAATATTATCCAACACTTGGGATTAGGGCAAAAAAAAATGACTATGCAACCTTTTAATATCACACTTGAGTATTTTCTGACAAGCCCACCTAAGGATAATCTGATTTTTTATGGAACATAACTTTATTTGACTTAATGTTCTCAATTGGTTGTGATCCTTTATACACTGTAAACTTGTATAAAACTAATCAAATAAAATTATCAGGGTTTTTTTTCTGCCTCGTAGAAAAGATAAGCACAAAGATAAGCTTGGTTGCCCTAGGACATTTATAAGTTTTGGGTTAATTTAGTGATCTTATTTCAATATTCTTTTTTTTTCCCACAGACTACATAAATCTTAATTTCTCATACTTTCATTGAACTATCTTTGCCATTCTGCCATTTCCCTCATTAATGAGTTAAAAGAATCTTCTACATGTACTCACTTTCTTTTTGCATATGAATGATGGTTTTAATGATTAAAGAATCATGCCTTGATTTTATGCAAACTCCATTTCTTTACCAAATGTTTAAACCCTTCTTCATATGGCAGACCATTCATCCCATCCCTTTAATGATTAATTAATCTCATATGTATCATCCTCAGTCCTTTTTTTGCCTTCCCTGAACTATACAGTTTGCATAACATGGGTCATGGGAATAAGATTTTTGTGGAAGTGTTGTGAAAGTATTGAAAAGAGAATTGTGGATTTTATGTCATCACAGATTAACTGTTGCAGAGATCTGGTTGGGGCTGAGGGGAATATAGAGCATGAAATAAGCTGAAGATGGGGTGCCCTGAAGTGGGTGGCATGACCCTAAGCTCTTTGAAAAGAGGAATGGAGATGAATAAATTGTAACTTGAATTAAAGATGAATAGAAGAGACCGTGCAAAAAATTTAGTCCAATCTGAGCCTGAGGTCCTAGGTCACCTTCACTGGATGCTGGTATTTTGACCTCTTAATGATTACAGAAAAACATGTTCTGACCATTGGGGGAATCCTTAAAACAAGGAGTCTTTCTGCCTTAGAAGGTAGCATCTTGAGGCTGTTGGATTCAGTGTTTGGGTTCCTTAATCAGAATCAGAATCAGAATCAGACAGAACATACAGGTAGGTTAGGCACCACTTCTGCAGACCTGCACCAGTCTAAATGCTAGGATGAATGAGCAGGGTGGACAGACAACCCAATGATTTTTTTCACCCTCTTTGAGGAAAGGAAAGACTTGGGGATAAAACTGGACATTACTCAAATGAGAAAACATGTTCTAACTAAATTGTATCTGTTTGGATATAATAGTGATTTGGGTGCAAACCAATTATTCAAAGATTAGTATGAGTATGAAGAATTTATTATTTATCCTACATCTTTTTTCCTGAAACAATTTAAGGTCGATAGGGGAAAAAATGTTTATCAAAGGTAGGGCATCAAATCCATTTTTCTCTAAACTAATCATTTGGAAACTACATTCTTGCCAGAATGAGTTGAGTTTAGTTTAAAGTTAGAGATAAGCCATCACATTTTCTAAAACTCCTTTTTTTTAGAGCAAGAGAGAGAAAGAGAAGGAGAGTGCACCAGTGTGCACGCGAGAGCAAGGGAGGGGTAGAGAAAATGGAAGACAGAGAATCCCAAGCAGGCTCCTCTCTGTCATGCAGAGCCCTACACAGGGCTCAATCTCACAAACCTGAGATCATGACCTGAGCCAAAATCAAGAGTCAGATGCTTAACGCACTGAGCCACCCAGACACCCCTCTAAAACTCTTTATACACACACACACACACACACACACACACACACACATACTTTCCTTATATTCAGAACATAGGTCTTAGGAAGAATATAGTAGCACTAAGTGTTAAGTAAATTATCGCAAGTAATCCTAAAGCACATTACTAGGATCAGCAAAATATGCACAGTATATGTACGAACGTGTATTTGTTTCTGTCGATGGCAAACTGAAAGATTTTCCATGCTGACTTTAATCAGAACGCATCTTGGCAGATGTTTCAACTACTGTCACGCCAAACTTGGGAAGAGTTCAAACACAAGTGACTGAGGAAAGAGGTTTTGACTGGAGGGATTCCTGACCTCTACATTGACATGGTGGTCAGGGGGCATGATGGCTCTGTGTTTTGATGAGAAGCAGTTACCCTTTAACCAGCCCTTGTCAACATTTCTTCAAGATTCACTATTATCTTTTGTCCTAGTCATAATCAATAATCATGATCAAAATGAATGCCACACTGAATATCAAAAAGAATAGAATGAAAATCACTGGAGAGAAATAATCATGTGATATTAGTGTATATGCTCTATTAGCAATGTTATTGGCTGCAATCCCTCTTCAAGGTCAAGAAAAATACACAAGTACTGGTTTATTAGTTATTCACTGAGAGTGAGTACCTGAAGGAGAAGGTTGTCCTTTTACAACACCATTTTTAGTCTTTTCTTCCGAATTCATTACCTCCTTGTAGATAAGTTCTGTAAGAAACAGTTGTCAGGATCATAAAAAAAAATGATCTTTAATATACAGAGAAAACTTATTAATGAAAAATAATAACATTCTGATGGGGTTGAGTAAATTAAAAATCAATCGGGATTCCTTTACTCCTCTATTTCTACTTTGTCTTGCAAAAAAGCACAAAGCCTGGAAAAAGTAAGTGCTCAGTAAAGTGACCAAATAAATGTATGAAGAATATACATTCTACTTGGTTCTGAATTTTTGGGGGGATTTCTGATGCCATCTAACTTTATCTCCTAAGAACTTTAATGGCCCAGTTTTGAGCATACAGTTTTCTTCTATACTCACTTCCTAAGAGATGCACATACTCTCCTGACTTTATTACTTTCCAACAATTTCCCAACTGCTTCTTCATTTTTTTTTTTCATACTGAAATCTTGGAGTTGTAAAATTAAACTTGCCTCAAACCCAACATGATAACAATTATTACATTTATTTCCAAACAGGCATCCATTCATGGCTCTTTCTTTGCTAGAGTTAAATTATGTACCTTCATTTCTTTTAATTTTCCCCTTTTTGCTAAAAATCATTCAGTGTTATTCATTCTTGCTGTGCAATGAGTTCCAATTTATATAATCATTATCCTTCACCATAATTTCTTTCTCTGGTTTCTAATTTAATCCATGTTCATTTTTAAGTGATATTTATCTCGTAATACTTACCTATTCACAAACCCCTAAGAGTACCTTCTTGTCCTTATTTAGAGCATATCAAGTCTTTTCTGTCCATCATTTAGTATCTTTGTTTACTTGGTCTACTGTTTGCACATGCTCGTTTTTCCATATTATCCAACAGGACCCCTTGGCCAGAGAAATCTCTTTGCTATCTTTATAACACTTTTTGCTCATCCCTATCCTTTGTTTTCTCCATGTGTCCCCATACTGGTATTTTCCTCTGTTTTATTCTTTTTTTCTCAATTTATAATGATTAATTCCTTCAAGTCAGCTCAAATATTTTTTCTATTCAGATCTTCCTTTTATGTTCCTCCCCATTTTGACTGAATGGTTTGTTATGATCTGTATTTGCTTATCTCTACTCTGTAGTTCTTTTATTCTACTGTGTAGTTATTTATATTAGTTTAATAATTATTCATAGTTTCTGCTTTGTTTCACCCTGAGTATAATCTTGACTATTCATTATGTGTTTGGAAGAGTTTTGGTGGAAAAAAGGTGAACTAATGTATTTATTCATTATTTTCTTACTTTGAAGGATAAATAAGCCATTCAGATACATAGATTTCCTAGATTTTCAAGTCCTAAAAATGAACCAAATGCATTCATACATTAAATATCTTTTATTTTCTAATGTCTAAAGTAATCTTAGGCTTAATTTAATCCATTTTATATGATAATTTTATACACAAACATGGGATGTATAATTCTGAAATTCTGAATTGAAGCATGCCCTCCACCATAACAAATACTTTGACAATCAGTACTCTTTTAAAAAGTATCAGTAATTAATTCCTTTCATTCTTGAGTAAATGCAATATTGTTATTAGTATGAAAAGACTGATGACGTTTCGAGAACTTTGAAAATTGTCTGAGGATAGCAATTATAAAATCATCTGTTACCAAATTGCTTTAAAGAGAGATGCCTTGAAGATATTTTCTGAGTTTCAATAAAGCAAAATGTATATTTAAGTGGTAGATTCACCTTTCCATTCTTCAATGGTGTGTTCTCTTTCGTCCAACTGTTTGTCATATATCTGAGGTGGAGGCTGCAGAATAAAAACAAACAATAAACTTTGTGTAATAACCCAAATATAACTAAATTTTACAGTGCATGGAGTAACTTGCTGTTCATTGATTTTGGTGGCGAGGAGACTCACATATTAATTTTGGGGTAATTGCAGTGGTGCAGAAGTTAAAATTTCTAGACTTATGAAGGTCTCATTTATATGCCAATAGTTGCTGCTGACCAAGTAAAGCAGCAGAATCCAAATCCTAAGAGCTCACTTCCCAAAACTTTCTGATTTAGAAACCAAATCTAAGAAACTAATAAAGCTAATCTTTAAAAAGAAAATAAGACATTAGATTATAAGGACCCAGAAGCTATTTCCTCCATTCACTTGCTTTATAACAGAACCCTACCCAAACTATCCCCCACTGATAAGATTTTGTTCCATTCTCAGACCCTCCTGAAGAAGTCTTTAATATCCCTCAATAGGCCATAGTAATAGTCCCTAGTATAAAGCCATATTTAGATCTAATCAAACTTTTAAATTTTTTGTGAAGCATCATAAAATACCTTTACATATAGCTATATTCCCAATATTTAAATGATATTTTCTCCCCGTAGGCAGAAGACTCTGCCAGTTTTTTACAGAGGTGGGCCACTGTAAACCTCTGAGAGGCCCTTTGGTTAGCCCTCTCTGGGGGATATCATATGAGAGGACCTTCAGTCTGACTTATGCCATCAGAATTTCTTTTGCCATGAAGAGTTCAGAGATTGAAAAGGAGAGATTTTCATAAATCTAGGTGCCTTCCAGGAAGGAGGGTCTCAGATTCCTTGATCTCTTCTTCCTGATGAAGAGGAATAAGATCTCCAGATAGGGGAGATATATCATGATGCCCTATGGGAGCTCTACCTTAGGCCAAGAGATGGAAAGAAAAAAAATATTTCTTGGAAAAAAATATCACCATGAGATACATGGAGAAGGGGCTAAGAAGTTCCATCGGCTGGCGATGGATTGAATGAAATAAGAACTACCAATTTCTGGTGCCATGAGACAGGGGACCCTAGAATTCATGTTGCCTAACACTCCAACAGCAATATTTATTGTAAGAAACTCAAAGAGTTACTCGATAAAGTGACTCAGGCCTATGGACATGCATCCCTCAAAAATGGCTGTCATACGAAGGCTTTGGACAAGACTTTCAAAGACAGCTCTTGGCTTCTGTTGGAGGTTGTTGGCCAGTGAGTAGCATCTTACTACTATAGTAGTCCTTCTTTACTGCATTCAGCCTGAATCATGACAGATATGAATTTTCATTCTAGTCCTGATATGCTGGGGTAGCCTCACATACTACAGAAGTAACTGTATATGAAAAGAAAAGAATTTGCCCCATTGTGGTCAGGCAACTTAACACAATACTGAATTATTGAGAAGTAACTACTGATGAGGCTAGACATTCCTTTAACTCCTATAATTGTTACTGGAGCAAAAAGCTTTAAACCAGCTACTGTGGTTCAAACATGGCTGGCTGAGTAGTCTTTATTGAAAGAATTAAGCAAAATGAGACCCCACTCTATCCCATGATGCTAAAGGGAACATAAAAATACAATTATATAAAGTTAAGGGGACAGGGTGATTAGGCACTGTCCTCAGGACTTGACTAAGGCATCATCTTCTACCCCAAATTACAAAGGATTCCCAAATTATAGGAATATTATGATGTAATGAGTAAACAGTTTTTTGTTTTGTTTTGTTTTTTTAATTTGTGAAACTGTCATCTAAGTACGCTAATGCAAAGCTAAATTCTGGTTATGTAAAGACATTTTTCCAAGTGGCAGGTTTCCTGCTTTGCCTCTTCCTATAATGCTGAGGGGACATCCTCTGCCAAACACAGCATCCACAAGCTCTCAGAGGTCCCCAGAGCTCTATGCCTTGTTGGCACCTCTTTCTTCTTCTAACAATAGACTCAGCTCAGGATCTTGTGTGGCTGGCTTCTCCATGAAGTGGATTTTTCCATTCAAATTTCGAAACTGAACATGGTTCAAGAGTACAGTTCCTGCCAAAGTGCATAAATGCCATTTTCTCTCTGCAACAAAACTATTTTGAGAGAGGCTTTCCTTGGAACTTCATCATACAGCTGTTGGTAGTGTATATAAAGCATGAAGTACGTAGACTCTAACCACAAGCAAACTACAAACAGAGAAAAAGTACTGAGTCCAAGGTTTTTCCTTTCAACAAACCAAAACGGCTGCAAAACATATTTGCATTATAGCTATGATTGAAACAGCTACATGTTCAGAGTTGTGGGGTTTTTTGTTTGTTTTAAGAGGAAATGTAATCACCTGCAATGGAAGGGTACATTCACATAAAGATGTCTTCTACATAAGAATATAAAAGAGGAATTGACCAATAGTCTACAGAGAGTAATGTCATATTCAAACATATATATATATACATATATATATATATATATACACACACACACACATATATGTGCTTGCACAGCAATCATTAGATGCAATTGTCCACAACACTCTCTGCCTCCACCCTCTAAAGAGAAGCTAGTGTTTTATTGCTCAGTTGTCTCCCACCCTTATTAAACAGAAAGGATTCTCTTTTTCCAGGTAGCAATCTAAATGAAAAAGAAATGAGGAGTGAGGATAAAGAGAAGGGCCCCAGAGAATATTTAAAAAAAAAAATTTACTAGATTGGAACAATTTGAGACGTGAGAAAATCAAGGATAAGATGAAATTAAGGATAATATATGGAAAGTTAGTAGGGCTTGTGACTTGCATGCTTTTGAATGTTCCTCAAGAGACTGAAATTCTCTTTCTGTTATTTTTGAAGATTTTGGACTCTACTTCCTTGCTTGAAATTCTTATAGATATCGAACCATGAATTCAAATGGATTACATAAAAAATAACAATATGGATTAGATGTTTCATATTAATGTTATTATATATACATGTACAAATTGTTTTAATTAAATGAGATAACACATAGACAAATACATAATCACTGCGTTAGTGAATATTAGAATCAATGTATTTGTTTATTAAACTCATTAATTCAGTAAAGGTCTTGGGCACGTAATATGCACCAGACTATATTAAAAATTGAAACTTCAAAACTAGATAATATGGCTTCTGACCTCAAGGAGCTCACAATTCAGTGGACTGATATAAACCAGAAAATTAATACACAACATGATAAAAAAAATATGTATGTGGTATAGGGGAATAGAGTGAAGAAATCTTAACAAACCCTAGGAAAACATTTTGCTTCTTGGAGTAGATGACATCTGTACTAGTTCCATGAAGAAAGGTGGTGGAGGATGCTGTCAAAAAAAAAGGAGAAGGACAAGATGACTCCAGGCACAGAACCTAGAAAACAGCATAGTCGTGTTGGTGGTGGATGCATGTTTGTTTGGGTGCACACACATGCAAAGAGAATTGGAAACAATTCTTTGAAAGTAACACATGACATACTTCAGAAGTGACAAGCAATAAGAGCTGTGCCTAGAGGAGATGGGTCAGGCAAAGGTTAGATCAAGGATGGTCCTGGGTACCATGATATGGAGCAAAGGCTTCTTGAATTTAAGAGAATGGCATGGACAAATCCATGGCTGGATTGAAGAAAGACACAACTGAAAGCAGAAAGATTTAGGGAGCTAATGCATGATCTAGAAAATAAATTAAAAAGGCCTGACTATAATATGGAAGGTCAAGATGGATAGAAAATATAGATTCAAGAATTAATAAATGTTAATTGGTAGATATTAATATTTATTTAATATTGATTAAGAAATTAAATTGGTAGAATTTTTTTGATTAAATGTGTATAATGAGAAAGAAGAATGATTCCCAGATTACTAAGCTAAATAGCTGGACAGTTATGGTATTTATGGGACTGTCTAAAAGGACAGAGAATGAAAAAAGGGAAATGAGATTGGTAGAGAGGTAAGCCAAGTGCTATGTGGATAGAGAGGTCTATTTGAGAATTAAATAGATGATCTGGTGATCATAGGACTGCTGTTGGCTAGAGATGTACAGATTCAAAACTATTAGCAACAGATGTTTGTTGAAATCATGACAGTGCATGAGGTCACCCATAGAGTGAATGCAGGTAGGAAGAGTAAAAGGCCAAAATGGACCCCTGCCAGACACCAAGGTTTAAAAGTTGACCCGTGGAAGAGAAGTGCACTAAGAAGGAGAAGGAGGAGGAAGAGAAGACGAGGGGAAAGAAGAGAAGAAGGAAAGAAGGAACACTTAAAGAAATACATGGATAATAAAAATATTGTAATGCTATAGAAGTCAAGTGTTCAGAGAGTTTCAAAAAGAGGTAGTAATTCTCTATTTCTTATAAATGAAACAAATGAAGAATTTAGCTTTCCAGGAATCAGAAGGGCATGATAAAAAGCATTAACTTTGAACCCCATAAAGGTTTCCAAACCTCAAAACTGTCGCCACACTCAGAAAGATTCAGATAGATTGTTGATGAAGTATTTTAATGCCAGACAGCACCTAAAGAAGTAGAAAGATATAGAAGAAATATCCTCAATACCAATATGGATATTGTAGACAAATAAAAAAAAAGAACTGCAGAACAGATTGTGACACTAAAAAAAGAAAAAAAAAAAAGAAAAGAAGAGTTCTAATGCTCTTTCCCAAATATCTTTAAGAGTTTGATAAGTGAAAAACACTGTTCTCTAATTAAGAGAAGTCATTTTTTTCTGAGAAGATACTATGTGCTAAGCTCTTTATATATGCACTTTTATTTTTTATTTATTTATTTTTTTTTAAATTTTTTTTTTCAACGTTTATTTTTATTTTTGGGACAGAGAGAGACAGAGCATGAACGGGGGAGGGGCAGAGAGAGAGGGAGACACAGAATCGGAAACAGGCTCCAGGCTCCGAGCCATCAGCCCAGAGCCTGACGCGGGGCTCGAACTCACGGACCGCGAGATCGTGACCTGGCTGAAGTCGGACGCCTAACCGACTGCGCCACCCAGGCGCCCCTATATATGCACTTTTAAACAATC